ACAGTTCTGGAGGCTGAGAAGTCCTAGGTAGAGGGCCTGCATCTTGTGGGGGCCTTCTTGCTGTTGGGGACTCTCTGCAGAGTCCCAAGGCAGAGCAGGGCATCACATGGCAAGGGGGCTAAGCATGCTTTATGCCACTTCAGGCCTCTCTTCCTCTTCTTACGAAGTCACCAGGTCCTCTCCCTTGATAACATATTAATCCTTTAGCCCATTAATTCATTAATTCATGAATAGATTAATCCCTCCATGAGGGCAGAGCTCCCATGATTCAATCGCCTCTTAAAGGCTCCATCTATCAGTGTTGCCACATTGGGAATTAAGTTTCAATAGGAGTTTTGAGTGGACATTCAAACTAGCACTCTGCAAAGCCCTGACCCACACCACATGTAGCCCACAAGCTCGAAGGCCTCAGCCCCTGCGACCACCCATGCCCAGACTCCCCTCCTCACCCACGCCACTGCATGCTGACCACCTACTCCCTACCTGCACTTGGAAGGGAGGTCTATTGCTTTTCCCAGCAATTCCAGGCCAGCTCTGGTCTGGATGCACCAGTGAACTTCTATGCTATCTGGTGGCCTAAACACACCTTCTCCAAGGGGGGTCTAAACCCCTTCCAACTTTGTTCTTCCCTGGTACTTTCCCTTGCCTAGAGTACTATAGACAGTTTCCTTATACCTTGTAGCACTCTCCTATCACAGTCAACAATTCTTTATATTGAACTTCTCTTATATAACCTTCTGTGTGGTTTCTATGATTGGACCCAGGCTATTCATCCCATCAGTAAAGAAGAGATGATAACATCTTTTTCTCAGATTATTTTACAGATCAGATGAGAAAACCCTCATAAATCTCATAGCTCAAGGCTCTCCCTGTCAGAGCTCCCCAACTTCCTCTTTTCCTGAGCTACTGCTGTTTTTTCATAGAGAAGAAGGAAAATTAGTATCAGTGAGTGAGTGCCTTCTGGGCACCAGGCAATATGCCAGGCACTTGACAAGATGGTGCTGACATGCATGTGGTTAGTCTTAGAGGAGGAAACAGAGGGTCAGAGAAGCTAAAGAGGTTACCTGTGGTTGTGCATGGTATATCCAATTAAGCTGGGCTAGAACCCCTGGTTGCTAGTCCTCCAAGTCCACGCACCACACACAACGGTGGGCTTGCTCCTAGAGCCCCAAACACTCCTTTTTTCACTTGAATGAGTACAATTTCCCTACATAAGGAAATTGTTTCAGCACTCACTCTAAGTTTCAGCACTCACTCTATGCTGAGAGTAGGTGCACAGCAGGAGAATCATTTGCTAGAGTTCTTTTGTAATGACTTAACTAAGAAATCTCCTAAAAGAAAGATCTGACTCACTGGGAAGGTGTGAGTCTGTGGTTTCCCTTTCTCTGTGAGCTGGCCTCAGGATGAGAACTGAGGAGCCTGCTCTTGAAACCGATGCCGTAAGCAAGTACAAATATGGACTGGGCTGTTAAAGGCTTCACATAAAAAAAACACCCCATTGGTTAAAATCAAGTGTATGGAATTGCACATCAGCAGCGGGCCAGTTGTATAGTTCGTTGCTTCAACATAACTTCCATAGGCCAGCAATCTTTATTATGTTCATTGATGTTTCCCAGCTGCCTAGAACAGTGCCTGGTATAAAGTAAATGTGTGTCAAATGTATGAATGTACATGGTCAAGGATTCAACCAATTTTTTTACACGTGGAGCTTCACTAGGGTATTTTAAAGTAGAATTTTAATTTAAAAGCAAGAGGGGAGATATGGTTTGGATCTGTGTCTCCACCAAATCTCACACTGAGATGTAATCCCCGATGTTGGAGGTGGGGCCTGGTGGGAGGTGATTGGATGATGTGGGTGGTTCCTCATGAATGGTTTAGCACCATCTCCTGATACTGTTCTTGTGACAATGAGTGAGTTCTTGGTCTGGTTGTTTAAAAGTGTGCAGCACCCCCCCCCCAACCCTACTCGCTCTCCCTTTGGTCCTGCTTCTGTAGGGTAAGATGCCTCTTCCGGCTCTGTGTCTGCCATGAGTAAAAGTTCCCTGAGGCCTCTCCAGAAGCAGTTGCCACCATGCTTGCTGTACAGCCTGTGAAACTGGGAGCCAAATAAACCTCTTTTCTTTATAAATTACCCAGTGTCAGGTATTTATAGCAGTGCGAGAACTGACTAATACAGGAGGAAAGGTGGAAATAAATCTTAATGGAATATGATTATTTTGTAAATCAAGGCATGATACCATAATGATCTATTCCAGTGACCAAACTCATCCTAATCAAAACTTACTTGTCTTGTGTTTAATTCTCTTCAGATGTCAATCTCTTCTAGGTGCCTGCTTATTACTTTACTGATGTAATAGTAATCAATCATGGAAGAATAAAGGTACTATCCCAGTAAATGTCATAGTAACTTTTTAACTGAAGCCCTTTGGAAAAAATTGCCCAGTGCCTGACAGAGAATTCTGTACATGACAGCTACTCCGTAAATGTCTGTTGGCACTGATGATACTGTGATAATACCAGGACCTTAAAATAAGGGACTGACATAGATAGTGGAAATTCAGGCAGGACAGAAAGGCCGGACAGAGGGGTGGTGGTGTTTTTGATTGGGCGGTCTCTCTACACATTTCACATAATGACCAGAACGTTCCCTATGTTTTCTGTGCTTAATGACTCAGTCTATTTGTGCTATAGCATATTCTCAAAAGGTTGAACCAAAAGACCAAATGAGAAAAATACTCTATACATGTGTTATAGATATTGAGGTATAGAGAGGAAACCATATGCACATCAAATTCTTTTTTTAAAAAAAATCTTGTCCCTTATTTCTCAGAAATTATATTTCTTCTTTTTAATAAAGAAGAAAAAGGGATATAGAAAGGGAGTAAATATATTTTTCTTTCCAGGAACACCAGGATAACCAGTAGTGCTTATGGTTCAAAGTCTCCTTTAAAACAGGGTTGTTGCAAAGTCCGGAGCAGATGAAAGTTCTAACCCTTTCAAGCGTAGGGCTTTAATGGGTGAGGTTGGCTACAGCTGTCTCAACTGGTACATGGTTCATTCATTTATTCATTCTCTCAACAAACACTTTGTAAGCACCTACTGCATGTTAATCGCTATAACTAGAACATAGAATGGGAGATTCCTGTAGAGGAGCATTTGCCTGTCTTGTATCCCCATTATCTAAAACACTCCCTAGTACCCTGGAGGCATTCACCAAATATTTGTTGAAAGGGTAAGTAGTCCTAGCACTCGTGGAGTTTATACTAAATTTCTTTCTTGTTTAGTTAGCATTTTTATGCCCATCAAATATGAGTTAAATTAACCTCAAAGTAGCTTTAAAAGAGAAAATGAGAGATGAATGACTGACAGGCTGTAAGCAGCCTGGGAGAAGTGTGGAAAGAGGTGTGGTTATGCTGTTGTCCTCTTTCCCACTGGCAGTACTACAGGATTGACCACAAGGTAGTAAGACTGATTCTCACGTATGATTTGTGAGAATCAGTCTCATGACATTGGAGCTATGAAATGCACATGAACATTTCAGCTCTGTTTTGTCATACGCTGGGAGACAGACTTCATCCCCACCCCTGAACGCCATCCCGCCAAGGCCAGTCATCTGTTCCCTGCACATCTGAATGGGGCTGTCCAAGGCAGGAGTCCTGGGAGCAAAGACTGAGTTGCTTCAGAAATTAGAAACAATTTTCTTCTCCTTGGCTGGACATAAATTTTCTTTGTTTTGGAATAGTCAATGAGTTAAAAGTTTCGCTGCTTCCTTGAACAATATCCAATATCATAGAACGTTCATATAGTACCATGAAAGGCTCAATCCTCAGAATGTGAGAGGTTTCTTTTTCTCTGCCTTCTTCTCTTCCTCCCTCCCTCCCCCTCTCCCCTTTTCTCAAAAACCTAAGCAGTCCTGAATCTTCTTTTTCTTATAGAGGTGGTCTGTCTGCCATTGGGCATCTATTTTAAAGTCTGGGATACATTCTGGGATGTTTATAAGCAACTCTAAGAAAGAAATGATTGGCAGTGCTGGTGGCCAATCATAAGTTCATTTATTCATTAGAGGTGGGTTCAAAGGCAGCCTTCTTTCTGTGTTTTAGTAACCTTATTATCTTAGTGCATTTCGTGTTGCTATAACAGAATTCCTGAGATTGGGTAGTTTATCAAGAAATGAGGCCTATTTGGCTCATGATTCTGGTGGCTGGAAAGTTCAACATTAGGCATCTGCATCTGGTGAGGGCCTCAGTCTGCTTCTAACTCACGAAAGGAGGCAGAGGGGAGCTGGCATTTTCAGAGATTGCATGGACAGAGAGGAAGCAGGGTGGGGGTGGGGATGGTGCCAGACTCTTTTTAACAACCAGGAAGCAATAGACTGAGAACTCGCTCATCCTCCCGCACCCCTGAGGGATGGCATAAATCTATTCATGAGAGATCCACCCCCATAACCCAAACACCTCTCATTAGGCCCCACCTTCAACCCTGAGGATCAAATTTCAACATAAGGTTTGGAGGGGGCAAATATCCAAACCATAGCAATTATTAACCAGCAAGCTGTCATATTTTGGGGACAAAGATTGCTTATTGCTGTTTTGTAAGTACTGTTTATTTCATTTATTATGATCATGTGAGATTCATCTTTCTGGAAAGATGCACACAGCTCTTGTTGTGACTTACTTGATCGAAACAGTTAACATTCAATTTATTTCCATCTCTTTCCTAAGAGAGAAAAAAAATCATTAAATAAATGACGGTTGTCAGGAGGCTTTTTGCTTATAATGATGAATTTGACAAAGGGCCCCCTGGAATATAGAGTTGTTAAATTTGCAGTTTTCTAGGAAATCTCTAATAGCTAGGGGGAGTTGGGGGATTAATGTTTAGATTTCAATCATTCTTGTCCATTATTATAGTCATTGAGGATTAACACTCTTGGGATTGCAGTTATGCCCTATTGTGGGCTCTCCCATGAACAATGCTATTAACACCACTTTTCATCTTCCTAGGTACAAATTCAGGAAACAGTCAGAGAGAGAATCTCTTGCAGCCAGATGCCAGCTTTCTCAGAGCCTGCTGGGGAGGAGTCCCCATTCACTGGGACCACAACAATTTCCTTCTCAAACTTAGGAGGGGTCCACAAGGAAAATGCATCATTAGCTCAACACTTGGAGGTCAAACCCTGTACCTATGACCCACAGCAGGAAGAAAAACAAGACAGAGATGGCAACACACCTGACAATTTCAGGGAAGACCTAAAACATGAGCTGAGAACCTCAGAAGCCAATGATGAGAATACGTTCCCAGGTGTGTTCTCAAGGCATCTCCCCAAGGATGCCCGTGCTGACTTCAGGGAGCCTGTGGCTGTCTCTGTTGCTTCCCCTGAAACCACAGATACTGTCCTCACCCTGGAAAATGTGTGTGATGGGCCAAGGGACAGAGAAGCAGTGTGTGCAATGGAGTGTTTTGAGGCTGGTGACCAAGGAACATGTTTTGATACCATAGATTCTCTTGTTGGGGCACCAGCTGATAAATATTTGCCTCAAGAAATTTGCTCTGTAGACTTGGAACTGGCAGAAGGTCAAAGAAAAGTATCTGATTTATGTTCTCCTAATGGCAAGACACTAGAAGTCCTTTTTCAGACACAAGTGTCTGAGACTTCAGTGTCTACGTACAAAAGCAGCAAGGACGGCGACTCAGTCATGTCCCCTCTTTTTATCAGTACTTTCACCTTGAACATTTCACACACAGCTAGTGAAGGTGCCACAGAAGAAAATCTAGCCAAGGTAGAGAATTCCACCTGCCCACTGGCCTCCACAGTACATGCTGGCCAGGAGTGGTCAAGCCCCAACAACTCAGGAAGGCTTGAGGAAACACAGCTCGTTTCTTCTGAGAACAATCCTTTAGTGCAATTTGAAGAAGGAGGTGACAAGAGCCCCAGTCCTAGTGCTGCAGACACCACAGACACCCCAGCCCGTTATAGTTCAATCGTGAGTTTTCCTTGGGAGAAGACATCAACATTAACTGCTAATAATGGGTTTCAAGTGACCAGGGAGACTGAGGACACATCGACTGTTACCACTGCCACGAAAGTCCACCCAGCCAAGTACCTTGCTGTGTCAATTCCTGAGGACAAGCATGCAAGTGGCACTGAGGAGAGGTTCCCTCGTGCATCCCATGAAAAGGTTTCCCAATTGCCTTCCCAAGTGCAGTTGGGTCATATTTTAAGTGGTGCTACCACCAAGTCTACAAAAGAGCTACTCTGCATGGCACCCAGTGTGCCAGGAGTCCCACACCATGTCCTGCAGCTCCCAGAGGGAGAGGATTTCTTCAGTAATTCCCCTCTTCAGGTTGACAACCTGTCTGGAGATAAGAGCCAGACTGTGGAAACAGCAGACTTTAGGAGCCATGAAGAGAATTTCCAAGAAAGAGGAAGTGAAATGAAGCAGGGGCTCCAGCAGCAGAGTCTGTCCCACCAGGGTTCTCTTTCTGCACCTGATTTCCAAGAAAGTTTGCCTATGACATCTGCTGCACAAGAGGAAATAAACTTGGTACCCTCGGCCCACTCACCAGCAAGCTCTAGGGAAGGAGCAGGGCAGCGCTCAGTTTGGGGGATGAGGGTCTCCGTGGTGGCTGAAACTGCTGGGGAAGAAGATAGTCAGGCTCTGAGCAATGTTCCGTCTCTCTCTGATATCATTTTGGAAGAGTCTAAAGAATATAGACCTGGAAATCGGGAGGCAGGCAACAAGCTGAAGATTATAACTCTAGAGGCTTCCGCTTCTGCAATCCGGCCACCAAGACAACGGACAAATTCTGAGAGCAAGGCATCAGACGGTGGTCCCGTAATTTCTGACAAGGTCTGGGCTGTACCTGATAGTCTAAAGGCAGATACTGTTGTGCCTGAATCGGCTCACAGTCCAGAGGATGCTGACTCAGCCCTTGCTGATAGCAGAGAAAGCCATAAAGGCGAAAAGCCTGCCATCAGTGCACACTGGAGAAGTCTTTCTTCCTGGGGTTTCAGCCAACCCAGACTCCTGGAGTCATCCGTGGACCCTGTAGATGGAAAGGAGTTATGTGTCACAGATTCACTGTCAGTGGCTTCTGAAACTGGAGGGAAGGAAAATGTTAACAATGTGAGTCAAGACCAGGAGGAAAAGCAACTCAAGATGGATCACACTGCCTTCTTTAAAAAGTTTCTGACCTGCTCTAAAATCCTAGAGTCCTCTGTAGATCCCATTGATGAGACAAGTGTGATAGAGTACACCAGGGCTGGAAAACCAGAGCCCTCTGAATCCACACCAGAGGGCGCCAGAGAAGGGAGTCAATCAAATGACGGAAATGTGGGCCACGGAGCGGAAATCCAGCCTGCCATTTTGCAAGTTCCATGTCTCCAGGGAACCATTCTGACTGAAAATAGAATCAGCAGAAGCCAAGAAGGCAGTATGAAGTGGGAGGCTGAACAAAGTCAACCTGATGAGGCAAAAACTACCATTTGGCAAGTCCTGCAACCCAGTGAAGGGGGTGAAAGAATTCCAAGTGGATGTAGGATAGGCCAAATACAAGAAAGCAGTGATGGGAGCTTAGGGGAGGCTGAGCAAAGTAAAAAGGACAAAGCAGAATTGATTTCCCCCACTTCACCTCTTTCTAGCTGCCTTCCAATAATGACTCATGCTTCTCTTGGGGTTGATGCTCACGACTCCACAGGCCAAATTCATGACGTCCCTGAAAATGACTTAGTTGAGCCCAGAAACCGTCAGTATGTGTTTCCTGTTTCACAGAAAAGGGGAACTATTGAGAATGAGCGTGGGAAACCTTTGCCCTCTTCTCCTCATCTTACCAGGTTGCCTTGTACTTCATCTCCTGAAGGAAATGTCACAAACTTTTTGATAAGCCACAAAATGGAGGAACCTAAAATAGAGGTGCTTCAAACTGGGGAAACCAAACCCCCAAGCTCATCTAGCTCCTCAGCAAAGACCTTGGCATTCATTTCAGGAGAAGATGAGTTAGAGAAAGCCCCTAAGTTACTGCAGGATCCACATCCAAAGGGCACCCTACACTGTGTGAAAAAGTCCAGGGAGAGGGAGAAGTCACTGGAAGCCCAAGCTGGCAAATCACCAGGGGCCCTCACAGCAGTGACGGGGTCAGAGGAGGTCAAAAGGAAGCCAGAAGCCCCAGGCAGTGGACATTTAGCTGAGGGAGTAAAGAAGAAAATTTTGTCCAAAGTGGCAGCCCTGAGGCTGAAACTGGAAGAAAAGGAAAATGCCAGAAAGAACTCAGCCTTTCTCAAAAAGGTGCCCAAACTTAAAACATCGTTATCACGCACAGAAGAGAAACAAGACCCAAAAAAGCCATCTTGCAAAGGAGAAGGAAGAGGTGAGGCTCTGTTGCTGTCCATCATTGTTAAAGTTTGGGCTTGTAGACGAGGTATCTAGTTCCTGTGTCCTCTAGGGTCCTTTGCAATTAAGGCCAGTGTCCCCGAGTTGGGCACTGATGCTATGATTGTGGCCAAGTGGCTTCAGCATGTGGCATCAGAATCACCTGGAGGGCTTGTTAAAACCCAGATTGCTCCCCTCCCCCAGCGTGTGAAATTTGCACTCCTAACAAGTTCCCGGGTGATCTATCGGGAGAACCACAATTGAGAACCACTGATAAAGGCTGCCTGTAGGCATGTCTGCTGGAGGGGAATATGATGAAGGTGCTTTTCCATTTAATTATCCTCTTTTACAAAATCTATTTAAAAATATAAACAGAAGCATTAATCAGTGTAGCTAATTAGTGTAATCAAATAGACCATGCAGGAAGACCATGGAAATGAAAATTTTGGTACAAATTGGGATTCTCCTCTTTAATCACTGATTTTTCATTAAAAATAGCTTCCTTGAACCTTGGTTTTTCTTCCAAATTTGAGTATAACGTTTCTTTTCAACTCACCCTCCCCATTTATCTAAATCTAAAGTCCTCTGAGGTCTGTGTTCAAGGTTTCAGACCACTTGAGCCTCAAAAGTCCTTGATCAATCTCTACCTATGATGCAGTTTAAAAAAAAAAAAAAGTCCTGAAATTACAGTTAATTCTACTTTGTCTAAGGAATCATTTCAGTCCCAAATTCCATTTATGGACCAAATTTTAGCCTGTTTTATTTCAGAGCTCTTCTTTCCCTCCCCACACACCCTGGTAGAAGTCAAGAGAAAATGTTGCAGCAAGCTACGGTGGCCTGTGTGCTCTGGAGCGAAAAACTATGGATGGCTCTGTTTGATCAGAAGGGAAGAATTTTCTCCTTTCTTATCCCGAGTCCTTAGACTTTGAGGCTGGTGTTTGTTATTCCCATCCCATCAAATGGGTCCTCACCCCTGTTGCAGAAAGGTTTAAAGACAAAACTGCCTTCTGAAGAGTTTGAAAGCATCCAATCAGGTTATTAGTATCTATATTTTAAAACATACTTAAAGAGAATGGCTGGGCATGGTGGCTCACACCTGTAATCCCAGCAATTTGGGAGGCCGAGGCAGGAGGATTGCTTAAACCCAGGAGTTTGAGACCAGCCTGAGCAACATGGCGAAACCCCATTTCTACCAAAAAGTACAAAAAGTAGCTGGGTATGGTGGCGCACGTCTGTAGTCCCAGCTACTCTGGGGCTGAGGAGGGAGAATCACCTGACCCCAGAAAGTCGAGGCTACAGTGAGCTGTGATCACACCACCACGCTCCAGCTGCACTCCAGCCTGGGTGACAGAACAAGACCCTGTCTCAGAAAATAAATAAATAAATAAAATTAAATAGAGAGAATGAGGCAATGTTTTAAAAGCTCTCAAAAGTGGTTTCAGCCCAGAGGCTGAATAGATTGCCTCTGGGGACCAGCCTCAACCCCCGTGTTTGGGGATGGGGGTTCCTTTGCAGGTAAAGGTAGACAAGCAAAACAACCTTTTTGGAATTATTGCCCGTGACTATTCGAGTTACCCATGGGTAAGAGGACCGTCCAGATAGCCAGTGTTGAAATCAATCGCTGTCAAAGACTTTGATTTCAGCTGCGGCACAACCTCGCCATTGCACTAAAGGCTGCAAAGACCGAGCATGTAGCTTTCTGGAAGGCACTGGCCTGAGCAAAGCAGGTAGATGCGAGAGCAGCCAGCCTTGTCCTGAGAGGGCCCTGCCGGAGACCACGGGGTAGAGACAACCAAAGACTTTTCCAGGCCAGACCACTGAAGGATTGTTACTCATGCCACCCACAACACAGAGGCCATTAAGAGGAAAAGATTCAGAGTTAGAGATACTAGGCGGTGTTTGGGCCCAGCTGGGGCAAGTTGTATCTTGGTGGTTTAGGGTGTAGATTAGGAGTTATATTGCTTGGGTTCAAGTCTGGCCTCTGGCGGTACCTGGGTAGCCCTGGACAAATACCTTAGCCTCCGGGTGCCTCACTTTCCCCATCTGTAAAATGGGGGTGCTAATAAGACTCCTCTCCGCTATAAAAATGCAAAGCAATTTGAATGGCCTGTGGCCTAACACAGCTCTCATGGTTGTTAGTTACTGTTTTTTTTAATTAGTGTTTTTAAATAAAAAATGAGGCAATGCTTATGCCCAGTATGCTCATGAAATAAATAAAGAACTTGGTTCAGACACAAGAGCATTGTGTCTGAGTTGATACCAACCTAGTATTAGGAGAAAGAGTGGTGCTGGCGTCCACAGCCCCTCCTCTCTGAAGAACTCAGGGCCTCGGCAAGAAGGTAGGAGTCATCTGGTGATGGAGCAGGCGGGGGAGGTTCATCAGAGCTACCCTTGAGTCAGCAGCTAAATGGGAATCTCAGGCAGGTTTTGCCCACGCTGGGGTAGGTTCTGATCCCGCAGTCCCTTCCCAGCTTCGGAGGAGTTGCCACTGGCGGCCATCCTCTCCCCTCTCGTGCGGGGATTTTCTTTGCAGAGAAAGTTAGAAGAACAGGTTTCTGGAACACTGGCACCCCCCTTTTTTTTTAAAGGTCACAGCTCCCCGTCCTAACTACAAATCAGTACTAGGTTATTGCATTGGAAGGGCCGTCGCCCGACGGGAAATAAATGCTTGACCAGCATATTCATCCATTTATTAAGGACCTTGTTATTTTCCATGGTGACTCTGATAATGAATTCACTGAATATGTATCTAATGTGAATCCACCATGGGCACTAATCCTTATGAATCAACACAGATGATGATAAGAGACAGGAAAAATGATTCTCTTCCAGCATTTACCTTTTGGAACGGCAGCATTCAGAGGGCCAGCCCTTGACAACACCCTGCTTTTTTTTTTGAAACGGGGCCTTGCTCTGTCGCCAGGCTGGAGCGCAGTGGCGTGATCTTGGCTCACTGCAACCTCCACCTCCCGGTTCAAGCGATTCTCCTGCCTCAGCCTCCCGAGTAGCTGGGACTATAGGCGTGCACCACCATGCCCAGCTAATTTTTGTATATTTAGCAGAGACGGGGTTTCACCATGTTGGCCAGGATGGTCTAGATCTCTTGGCCTTGTGATCTGCCCACCTCGGCCTCCCAAAATGAGCCACGGTGCGGGTCCTTTTTTTTTTTTTTTTTTAACTTACCACCTTCTAGTTGTTCGTTACGGGTTTCTAGCTGTGGACCAATTCCTTTAACCATCTATTCCACCATTAAGCACTCAAAGGTTTTTTTATTTTGTTTTCTTAGTGTAAGCCACAGCAATATCATTGTTTAAAAATAACAAAAGTTGCCACCAGGAAGACACCAGATTAGGAGGTTCTCCTTCCTTCTTGTGGTGATGGCTTTTGTAAGACCCTGAGTCCTCGTCACTGTTTTCTAGCTGGTACACTTCAGACCCCTTGGCTGACACCTTGACTGTGCCCTACCTAGCAGTCTGGTACCCACCCTGCTACCCCCAAAGGAGCACAGATTTAATGCCTTCCCACCAGTTAACTGGTGGGGCAGGAGTTAGGATGAGGGGAGCAGTGACTTGGATCGTTATAAAAGAAATAAACCCTAATCTTTTTTAAAAAACTATTATTATTACTTTAGAGACAGGGTCTCGCTCTGTCACTTAGGCTGGATTCCTGTGGCAAGATCTTGGCTCACTGCAGCCTTGAACTGTGCTCAACTGATCCTCCCACCTCAGCCTCCTAAGTAGCTAGGTCCACAGGCATGCGTACCACACCTGGCTATTTTTTTTTTTCTAGAGATGGGGTCTTGCTATGTTGCCCAGGCTGGTCTCCAACTCCTGGCCTCAAGTGACCCTCCTGCCTCAGCCTCCAAACCTGCTGAGATTACAGGTGTGAACCACCATGCCAGGCCTGAGTAATCGTTTTTGATGTCCAAAGCTTAGTACAGAAACTATATTCACCAGGGACTTTATTACCATTTTCCCTCAACACTAGGCCCACCCGCACACGGAAGACAAACCTAGCTGCAATCCAGGTCTCCTCTGAGCTCGTTCGGCTGCATTTTCCACCTCTATCTCACATAGACAGGGGATCTATCCAAAGCCCAAACCCCTTGGCTAAACAAGCTTCAAATCTCCCACAGACCATCCATCATTCAGTTCTGCTGCCCATTTCATGCCCTTCCCGCCATCCCCCAATTTTCTTTGTGTTCAGTACAACAGGTTCCGGCAGGCTTAGGAATATTTAGATGTCCCCAAATCACCCATGAAGCTGGCCACTGCATGGTGTTGGAAGGACCCTCTAGGAAATGGCCCAGATGAGGAGGTGGGCTTGGTCGAGACCCGGACCAAGAGTTTCAGACTGTGAACCTGAACATGGTCTCAGCTTGGGCAGGAGCCAGCAGGCCCAAATGCACTGATGCGGGTTTGCCATCAATACATACTTGCTAAATTTTCTCTCTCTCAGTTATCCACTTGGGTCCCAGGATACTGTTAGTAGTCTTGATTACTCACTGGTTGAAAAATTTGCTACCCAGCGGGCCCATCATCACTTCCTGGGTAGAGAATTAGCTTTTAAATATGCATTCTGTCATCCAAGCATCTGCTGGCGTCAAGGAGAGATGAGAAGCCCCTTGAATTCATGGATGTTTTCACCGTAGTATAATTTGAGGCAGTGGAGCAAACAAAGTCTCAGTATTGGTGATCTTGGTTTGGCTACGGATTACATATGTTTTGTAATGATGTACTCTTTTGTGTGACCAGCGCTGTGGAGTTATGCTATTTAATTTGTGATAGGCTCACACCACATCTGCAGTACTCTCACTTCCTACTCAATTGTTATGACCGCTTGGGACAGGGGCCTCATCCTTGTCTTGTTCTAATGTCTAGGCTGCCGCCCAGTGGCTGCCCTGGCTAATTACATATTAGCATGCTAATTGTTCATCACTGATACTGAGGTGATATTCAAAGGTCTCAGCCCAACCGGTGGGAATTGTTTCCTTGTTGCTTCTATTATCTTTTGCTAATGAGGTTGATATCAAACATCACTGCAATCTACTGGGTTATCTTCAACAAAGACAAGTGTGATAAAGGGGAAAAGATGGATGAATATTATTCAGCCAATAACTTATTGTTGAGGTGTCTTTTACGTTTTGGGGGCTTAGCCATAGTTTTTTGGATAATCCGGATTTTATTCTACTCCCTAATCCCTAGCTCTGATTTTGACTGGATGATCTGGTAATCATTTAAAAACATCTTTATTTGGCTGACATCCTATAGAATAGATTTCTACAATCCTCCCACCTCTCATCCCCTTTAGAAAAAATCTCTCAAGTTCTATTTCACTTTCAGTATTACAGGCTGAATTTTAAGTAATGGAAGCGAGCATTTTCTATTAGATTGATTTGTTAATTTTCCGACTATTTAGGCAAGCTACCGCTCCCCTCAGAAACTCAATTCTCACTTCCATAATTGGGGATAATAATTAGTATTCCTGTCTCTCAGGATTGTTATGAGAATTAAACGATATGAAATGGGAAAGTCTTTTGCTACACTGACCTTCAAATCTTTTGTTTCTAGCTCCGGTATTACTGAAAAAGATCCAAGCTGAGATGTTCCCTGAACACTCTGGAAATGTAAAATTAAGCTGCCAATTTGCAGAAATTCATGAAGATTCTACTATCTGCTGGACAAAAGATTCAAAGTCCATAGCCCAAGTGCAGAGAAGGTGCGATGTTTTTCCCTGGTTACTTTTCACAGTTGCTGCTTGTTTATTTCACAACATGGTTGTTAAAAGAAAAGAATAAATTATAGGACATGAAAATTGAAGCAGAGATTCCACACCCGCAATATTTAAAAAGATTAAATATTGGAAGACAAGTGTCTGTATGGGGAAATGATGGAGGATTCTTGCCTGGGTTTTGCCACTATTGAGTTCTGGGGTTTTGGGAAGTCACACAACCTTTCACTACGTTTTTTAAATCAGGGAAAGGAACCTGTCAAATGATATTCTAGGCTGAGGTTCTGTGGTCCTAAGATTAAAGAGCTCTCGTCTGTATGTCTGTGAATTTAACTTGGGTGTGTTTTCTGTTTCATAAATTCCCAGTAATCTGATAAAGGTCAAACAAAGCTTAGAAGATGAATAAAAACAACAACAGCAGCAATCTATGAGGTTACAGAAAAGTAACAGCTATTGAGGGTGACCAGCAGCCATCATTAATATGGGAACACCTGTTTATTTCTGGGTCTCTGTGATTTTTATTTTTATTTTTGAGACAAGGTCCTACTCCCATTTCCCAGGCTGGAGTGTAGTGGTGCAGTCATGGCTCACTGCAGGCTCCACCTCCTGGGCTCAGGTGATCCTCCCACCTCAGCCTCCCGAGTAGCTAGGATTACTGGAGCACATCACCATGCTTGGCTAATTTTCTTTTGTATTTTTAGTAGAGACAGGGTTTTGCCATGTTGCCCAGGCTGGTCTCAAACTCCTGGCCTCCAGTGATCCACCTATTTCGGCCTCCCAAAGTGCTGGGATTACAGGAGTGAGCCACCGCGTCTGGCCATGTCCTTAAGATAATAAAGGAGAGAAAAATGAGGAGGAGAGAGATGAGAGTGAGAATCATTGCCAAGAATATCCCCTATGCAATGAACCAGATTAATGGCTTCCTTAAGCAGCTTTTCTTGGCAATAAATGCTTGTTCAAGTGAACTGATGAATTCGAGCTTCATCTGACACAATCTAGAAACAAATCACCTGGTTCGAAAGTCAACCCTCTGCCAAAGAGGTTCCCAGTTTAGCTCCCTAAGATATGGGAGGGGTTCTAATCCCCTTATTTTTGTCACCACTAGACTGAAAAAGTGAGAAAATCTGAGTTTTCTGTTTAATTAAACCATATATGTCTGCTTGGAACATATGTCTGGAAGCTATTTCTCAAATGTAACGATGGGATACTTGAGCTATGATTTCATTTCTACTAACATCACTCCAGAGCATTTAACTGGATTGTGATTGATAGAATAACCACTTTGCCTAAAATGTCACCATTACCCTGCCCGTCTTCGGTATGGCTTAAGAAGAATTATAATGGAAAAGGAATGGTTTGCTTTTTAAGTCAAGGAAGTTCCCTAGAGCTTCACTTAAAAAGGTATTAATACTAATTATTCATTTTAAATTATTTTCTGAAGCTGTCAGCCAAGAACAATTAACCAGCATTTTCACTGTTTTTCCATTCATCAGCCTTGCTCTGAGCTCAGAATTACCACTTGAATATTTGCACATCCCTTTTCCATTTGATACGTATTTACCATAAATCTGACTTTCCCCTGGGGTGCATATGTCATTAGTAAGCATTCTACTTACTGATGACGCGTGGCTAAGGCCTTTGATTGCTAGTGATGTTTGCTTCATTTCTCCTTGGTGACAGTGTCTGGCTTAGTTGAACCCATCTGCTTTCTCCATGCGAACACTTGAGAATATTTAGGAGTCATAACTCATTTGTTTATTGAGAGAACATTTACATTATTTCAAGTGGGTTTTCAAATGTTTGCTAATTTCTCTCATGCCTACTTCCAGGCCAGCGTTTCCCTTCACTTGTGCCTCCATGCAATGTGTCACTGTCCTTGTATCATTTTCAAAGAGTTGAAATCTCTCACATATAATGTCAACCTGGAGCAAAGGTCTTCTTGCACTTACTAAATCATGAGGGAACCTGTACAATGGCAAGATTGTTCAAAGGAGCATTTAAGGAATGAAGATTTAGATAGTCAATCAGGTAAAGGAATGCGGAAATACATTTTGAAATAGATATAACACTGGTTAATGTTTGACAGGTAATAAACTTTGAGAGTTATCTTTTCTATTGCACAGAAACCTAAAAGTTAACCTGTAACTTTTAGGTTACAGGTTCTATGTAAATGGTTCTATGAGTGGGTTCTGTGTAAATGGGAAATAGCAAAGCATTCTCCTTTCAGTAGATCATCCTCAAGTGATCCTGTTGAACAATGACTGTGATCCTCCTCCTGTCTTTGTCCGCAACTTTTGGGTACTTTCCTTAACAGGCTAAAGTGTGGAAATTAGGTGTCAGAAGACATTCTTGTGGTTAGGGCAAGACTAATATACTTCAAAGAAACCAATAAGAAGAAAGTGGTAGCTTGGTTTGAGTCTCTGTGTAGCAGTGGCATGCCTTGGCTCCATGGAGACTTCAAGGTGGCACCCTCTGGTGCTATTTGGCCATCAATACCTTCTTGGTAACCAGGAACCCATTCTCCACTCTGGGGAGAGACGTCCTTCTGAGTTCCCTGGGCTTTTGAAAGTGCAGCTGTCCATGTGGAGTGGCTCTGCTGATAGCTGAGCAAGGTCATGGAGCACAGGTCATGTTGTTCCTGCTGGGAACCAGTGGATGAGGAGCTGGCTGCTGGGATGGCAGGATCTCCTTGGATGGCCCTGAGAGAAACAACCCGAGGGCTTCTCAGCCCAGACTGAGTGGCGGGTGGGAGTGCTGCCAAGCCCTGGCTCCTTAGGGCTGGTGATGGATGATGGGGTCTCTCAGAGAAGTCCCCACGCTAACTACCCTCTCCCTGCAGCCAATTTCATTCTTTGTGTTCCTCTGATCACACTCTGGCCATGGGCTTCTTTTGCATTTGTCTGCACAGCTAATCACCACTGATGTTCTGCTGTCTGTGGCCATTTCCTAAGGTAAAAAGATTTGTCCCTTACAGGGACAGTGGTAGAAAAAAGGCACTCTTGGTAAAAAAAAAAAAAAAAAAAAAAAAAAAAAGGCACAAGGTCACTTGTTTTTGCTTTCTATAGCTGTGCTGGTATTTTCTGTTTGTCCATTTCCTCCCAGATTAGAAGACCCTCAAGGGCAAGGACTATGCCTTTTTTTTTTTTTTTCCCGTCATTGAATCCCCCAGTACTAAGCACAGAGCAGATACTCCACAAATGCTGGATAGAACTCTTTGGGACTTCCGAGATAGTTTTGTTTCATGGAGAAAGCACACTAATACTACTGTTCCCCACTAATACTACTGCTCACCATGAAGTAATGACTCGTGACCACTCTCAGGACTGGGCTTTTTGCCAAAGCTTCACACGCTGGTGTCAGTTACTCCTTATGACACATCTGAGCTGTGATCTTGCTCGTTCTGCTTTCACAGAGGAGGAAACTGAGGGTGAGAGGCTACATAGTACACCTGAGGTCAGCCTCAGGGTTGGGATCCAGACCTTTCTGACTCCTATATGTATTCCCTCTAGAAGAAAGCCTTGGGTGGGGACCATGGGTCAAGCCAGGAAAAACGGTCTTCATGGTTCTGGACCAAGTATCGGAGAATTTCTAGGCTGGAAGGAAGATGTTCACGGGACAGTTCTAGTTCAGCCCCCAGCCCTTCAGGTAGCCCTTGCCTGCCCCTTTCAATGACAGAAAGGCTGTGCCGATCCTAGAGCTTTGGAGAAGGACTTTCCACAAGCCTCCTCTGTGGCTCGCTCAGTGTTTTATTGCCCTCTCCGGAAATCTCCCCGTTATAACTGGACTTGTTCACATCCAGTTTTAACCATACAATGGGAGATGTTCAGAGCCCGCAGGAATGAAGGAAGTTGAATGATTTCGTGAACTTCGTTTTAAGCCACTGGTATATTCCAGGGAAGGAATGTATATACTGGAGGCTTAAAGTCTATTGAAAAAACAACCAATAATGAACACTTTTTTTGAACATGCAACTGAGACAAACTCAAGCTCGGTGAATTTTTGTTGTTAAATGATGAAACAAACCCAAGCTAAAATGTACACCACACACATGTATACACATAAACACACAGAATCTTGGTGAATGTTTAAACAAAGTTCATTTTAAAGAACAAAACCAGAACAACATTTGAGTATCCTCTTTTTTTTTTTTTCTGTAAAGTAAGTTTTTTGTTTGAGATTTTGGAATAAATATGTGGCTCTACTTATATTTCAGATTATCCCAGACTTGAGGGCAGGAACCATAATTTACCTGGGGAGGCAGCTTAATGAAGTCAAAATCATTTGCTTACATTTTTCTATGTCTCAGTTTCCTCATCTGCAAACTGAGAACAGTAAACGTAGTTCTCTCATTAGGTTGTTCTGAGGACATCATGAAATTGATCTTTATGTGATTTGGCACAATGCCTGGTACATACCAAATGCTCAGTGCACATTGGCTCTCATCATCACTGTCATCATCACCACCAACACGACCACCACAGCCAGTTTTAGTTTTCATAGCACAGTGACTGAAACTCAATAACACTGGGTGGGTGACTAGTTGGACGGTTGGTACCTCACTAGGGGAGTACAGGACACTATTATAAAGGGGTCCTCAGTCATGAATCCTTAGGTAGCATGAAGCTAAGAACCCCCTTTTCTCTTGTTTCTTGTTGTGTAAGTTTGGGTTTGGAGTTACCAGACTTTCCGTCAAGCACAGGACGCCCGGATTAGTCACATAATTGAGCTGAATTCTGAGCAGAAATGTTAACAACAGCTCCCAGAATTCACAATTTCAATTCTTGGCTCTACTCATGGCAGTTAAACCTACTGAACATTTCTTTGTGTTCATACTGCTTATTGGAGTGAGCGTGTTAGCCAAAATGTAATGACTCTCCTCTGTGGAGACATCAATTATTTAAACAGCGGATCGTGATTTTGCCCCTTGGGCAGCTCATTGGCTGAAAACATGTGAGCAGGGAAGCCTTCGCTTCTTTCTTCTTAAATATATTAGAAAAAAAAATGCAACCATAGAATGATGAAGTGTGTCAATGTGAATATTCCTCATTATAGTGCAGGGGACAACTCCACTGTTTCCTTTGCCATCGTTCAAGCCAGTCTGAAGGACCAGGGCCTCTATTACTGCTGCATCAAGAACAGCTATGGAAAAGTGACTGCTGAATTTAACCTCACAGCTGAAGGTAGACCACAGCTTTTCAGTTTTCAGTGAAAACCACTAGCCCCTGCCCGTTCACAATGGACATTTGTACTGAAGCCATTCTCTGCTTTGTCTTCTTCTAGTTCTCAAACAACTGTCAAGTCGCCAGGATACTAAAGGTAAGTCAGTTGGGGTTGGCCTGCCAGAGGAAATGGGCTTGCCATAAAGCATAAAATAGCTCCCGGAGTAAAGGGTAGAAGCAGTAATCCTATGGACTCTTCCAACTGAGAAGGAGAGCTATGGCGTGACTTGAGAAAAGAATGACAATTCATGAGCCAATTCAATGTGAATGTAGGGCCATACTTCCTATTGTAAGTTCATTAAACTATAGATATCCAGAATTGGATGGTACACTATAGCAGGGGAGTTTTGGGGAACACGTAGAGGGGGAGTTTGGATTTGACTTTTCCCTTTAAACATCGGTCTTGCATTCAGCCCTTCTGCATGGGAGTTTTCAGCTGCTGGGACTTATACAGCTTGTTTTGTTTCTTCAATTTTCTTTTCAGTTTGACTAGCTGAGCAGATTCCCAAAGACAGCCAGGTGTCTGGAGAATCATTCCATTCGTTTGTGTCTTAATGAAAAGAAAAGATGTGTTTCTCTGCTTTCTTTTGGCACCTGGTGTTAGCCACAGCCTAACACTGCTGTTTATGAATGCTCGTGCTGTCCCTGGGCCACCCAGTGAATTTTCCACAGTTTGGTGGAATCTGTGTTTGCCGTGTCTTCCCTCTTAAGGAGAATTACTCACCCACCTACGCCCACCCATGCCCACCCTTGCCTGGTGGTGTGCTGGGGTAAATATTTAACAACATGCCGAGGGTTGGGGAAGCTCTGAGTCCTACAATTTCCATGATGTAAATTCAGTGTGGCCACTTTTAAACCACCAGTGTGACATCACACATCATGGAACTGGAAAGAGCTGCCTGTCATCAGCTCTCAGGAGCTGCAGGAGGCCAGTTCCACACACCACGGTGGTCCAACCTCACCCCATGTGACCATGACTTTCAGCACAGGGGAGGATCCACTGTCAGTTTTAGGAGAAATATGGATAAATTCTGACAGTTAATTGAACTAGCATCTTAAAGATTTATTGCATGTACTGATTTTTAAAACAAACAGAATGCCTGAAATCTCTGCAGAAACAAGTAATAAAAGTAATCAAAATGCAGTCACATCCAGTGTATCAAAAGCAAGAAACTGAGATCTCAACTTAGAAATGGTCTAGCAATAGGCCAGGCGCAGTGGCTTACGCCTGTAATCCCAGCACTTTGGGAGGCCAAGGCGGGTGGGATCATGAGGTCAAGAGATCAAGACTATCCTGGCCAACATGGTGAAACCCCATCTCTACTAAAAATACAAAATTAGCCTGGCGTAGTGGCGCATGCCTGCAATCCCAGCTACTCAAGAGGCTGAGGCAAGAGAATGGCTTGAACCGGAAGGTGGAGGTTGCAGTGAGCCGAGATCACACCACTGCCCTCCAGCCTGACAACAGAGCAAGACTCCATCTCAAAAAAAAAAAAAAAAAAGAAAAAGAAAAAGAAATGGCCTAGCAAATATTGTGATATTAACCCAAAATAGTAAACTTAAATACAAGCTCTTCACAAACCCACTCAGATGCTAAATACCCATCTTTAGTGTGTACATACGTGTGTTATAATTTAAAATCCTTCCTCCATTTCTTCTCTCATCTCCCCAGAAGGCAAAATATGCAAAAGAATCCCCTTCCTCCTTTAGAAAATAAAGACTCTCAGAAGGGAGTCTCTGTTTCATCAGCTTCTTAGCATTGATTGGCATTCACATCTCAGACACTTGCTATGGTTTTATTGGTTTAGGTTTGCATAAGCTCATTTCTCAAGGATTACTTGAGAGACCCCAGTGGGGATGAGCTACTGGCCATTTGGTGGAAATGGTACCACCGCTGTAGCCCAGGGACTCCAGCCACAGAGCTTGTGTCTGAACCCTGGTGACATCACCTTCTCCCGGTTTCTGGCCCCATTGTTACTGGGGGTGTCAGTTTCACTGACTCACCCGGCTGGGGAAGTAATTCTTGGCCCCTCCCTATCCTTGTACCTTCAGATAAAGAAGCCGAAAATTACTTTTATGTTATTTCTTTGAGACAGGGTCTCACTCTTTCGTCCAGGCTGGAGTGCGGTGGCACAATCATAGCTCGCTGCAGCCTCGGCCTCCTGGACTCTAATGATCTTCCTACCTCAGCCTCCTGAGGAGCCTGGGCTACAGGTGCTCACCACTGCACCCGGCTGATTTGGAAAATTACTTTTAATCACAATTTTTTTTTTTAATGTAGAGGACTATCTTACTAAACAGTTTATTAATTTAATTCTCTATAGGAGGAATAAATAATCTTTTACAAGGTGGTCTCTAATTTAAAAACTAATAAAGCTAAGCTTATGAGAAAGTTGGAAATGAATCATGGATAAAATGAAGCCCAATTTAATGATGTTATTATGTTTTATGAATATATTTGTGGATTACTTTTTTGCATCTCGGAGCAGTCTTTGTAACCAGTGGTTGCAGGTATCCTCATGGTTTCTCTGAGTTGATTTGTAGTTCACAATGTATGGGTGTAGCAAGGAACCTCAGTGAGGCATTAGGATCTCCCAACACTCATCTGGTGAGTCTGTCTGGTGGATTCCAATGAGTCTCCCCTGATTCTTTTTTTTTTTTTGAGACGGAGTCTTGCTCTGTCACCCAGGCTGAAGTGCAATGGCAAGATCTCGGCTCACTGCAACCTCCACCTCCCGAGTTCAAGCAATTCTCCTGCCTCAGTCTCCCGAGTAGTTGGATTACAGACACCTGCCACCACACCCAGCTAATTTTTAGTATTTTTAGTAGAGATGGGGTTTCATCATGTTGGCCAGGCTGATCTGGAACTCCTGACCTCAGGTGATTCACCTGACTTGGTCTCCCAAAGTTCCAGGATTACAGGTGTGAACCACCACACCCAGTCTCTCCTGATTCTTTCTCATAGCACTGCCCCCTCTCAGGGAATTTAGACAGCGTGGAGTGTGAGTCCTGGCAACAGATGGCTCTGCAAAGCTGCAAAGAAAGTTGCACCTTCTCCACAACCCGAGACTTGCACTGCTACATGCCTGCTTTTCCTGAGCCTCCCCTCAGGTGCTCAGTTCTCCGGTTACCTTCATTACTCTTACCAGGGAAGAAATTGTTCTAAAGGATGAATTCTCACCTCCATCTCTCACTTTAAAAGAGGTGCAAACTCTAACCAAGCGCACGCGCTCATTTCAGCCATCACTGCGGAAGACATTTTTGGACAGGCTGTCCTTTCAGATTTCTGCAGAGCTACAGAGTCTATACCTTCTGCTTCTGTAAAGGAAGGCCCAGTAGATGAGTTTCAGCTTGGAAAGTTCCACCTAGAACTCCAGCTCTTGCCCTGCAGGATTTTCAAGAGACAAAGAATAGGTCTAAGATTTCTTTTTTTCTTTCATGGCTTTATCTTTGTCAAATAAGCATTTCTGTTGGAAATGATAGACAGGGTTATTAATTTTACCACATGTAGTAATATGCAAACAAATTTTCCTTCCTACTTTCTAAGCATATGGCCTGGGCCAACTTTGATCTTCAGTTAATTAGATTTGCTGAATTTTAAAGCGTAAGGTGCACAAACATTTTACTTTTAATAATTAAATTTTAGAAATGTGAGGGTTTTGAAGGAAGACAGGATGTGACAGAGATAACTCATGTTCATTGGGCTCTAAGGTATGTACATATAACATTTCCTATAGTCTGTAAGTGGTATTAGAGGCCAAATTGCTAACATTAATCATATAACTGGAATGGAACTGAGAAGGTGTGGGATACAGAAAAGCATTCTCTCTCTATTTTCTCACCTAATTTTTAAATTTAACTGTTAAAATAAAACTGTGCTTTTCTCCATAGATTAATTTTTTTTTTCTTGGTTCTGTGACTTAGAGTAAAATCTGCGATCCAGGTATTGCCTAAAACTTTATCTGAGAAAATGTCCTATTTGCCTGTTTCCCTGCAGCTCCAACCCAGTTCTCTCCAGAAACCCAGGGCGAGTTACTCAGTAGGAGTTCCAGGGGAAGAAAAACAATTTATTCTTCAGTCTTCATAAGTTCTTAGTTGGAACAGATCCCTGTAACAAAAGAAGATTAGTGAGAGGAAAACAAACAGGTTGATGAGCATGTATCATTCATGTATACATGGGAGACACTCAAGAAGTGCTCATTTAAGAAGGGATTTGAATTCCAGCTTATACAGCATCTAAACAAAGAATGGTGCATTTTTCGAGAAGTGACAGGGCAGAGGGAAGGACTTTGGGTAGGTAAGGGCAGTAGCTTGTGGAAAGGCATTTCCACAGCCCTGGAAAATCTCCCAGCATCTGGATTCTCATTAATGCTTGTTAATGTCTGCTGCTCATCTCCAGGCTCATCAGGGGCTAAAGTTGTCTTCAGTCATTAACCTTTGTTCTTCCTGGTAGAAGGGGAGTAGAATTGTTTCTGTGTTTATAAATTTATGTCCTGATTTTAGGCAAATAGGGGGAAGGCAGAGAGCTTTCTTGCCTCTGCTGCTTCTTAATTGCCTTCAGCTCAACAATCCTTTTACCAAAGAGGCAGATTTGAGGGTGACATATTCAGATGTCCCATAGTCTTCTGCTGGCCTTTGTGAAAATGCTAGGAGCACCTTTAGGAATATCCTCTTTCTTCCAGAAGCTTCTAGCTCTTTACCTAGTTTTTCTGTTTGAAAATCCACCGAACCCCACTCCCTTTCTTTCTTTCTGGCAGTAACTAGGCCCTGACCTTAATCAATACCCTATCAGAATAGTTTCAGTCTCTTTATAGTTTTAATAGCTACCATCAGTCTCAAATCATATGATTTGAAATATTTTGAGAGGAGAAGAAAAATATTTCCTTAAGCATTGTATATAGAAACATGAAGTAAGATTTTTCACACAACCCATGATTTCTTTCTTCTTGTAAACATTCAGAAAGATGTCAGTTTTCATCAGTTTTGAGAAGTGGAAAGCATTTTAAAAATCCAAACAATCTTATTTCATTGAAAGCCACCTAATTTTCTTCTCTCAGTGAATGAGAAGTCTGATTGGGTCATCTCTAGTTTAAAATGGACCTTCCTGATTAAATTCACTGTCATCTCAAACACGTGTAGAATCCACTCTGAAAAGAAAATAGCTGCTAGAAAACTCAAAATAATTCTTTTTTCTTTTTACAAATAAATCCAAAATGATTCTACCTTTTTCTCAATTTCTCTTCAAAGGCCATTCTTCTTACTATTTTTTGTTTGTTTGTTTGTTTGTTTATTGCTACCTGTTTCTTATACTTATCGCATGCTTTCTCAATGGAGGCAGTATTGCTCCCAAGAGGACCAACGCTGGTTCTTGGCAGGCAAAAAAAGTTACTCTTTTTCTGTATAAAGCACAGATATACATATGGTACATAAACAGTATATTTGTGGTATTAAGCTTTCATGGCAGGCAATTAAAACAAATTCCAGCAAAGATTCTGGGGTTGGGGGGGCAATAATGAAAAAAAGGTGGATCCGATACTATCAGATCTTATCATTGGTCTTTCTTCCCTCCTCTACACTTACCCATCTTTTCAACTTGCCTTTTATTACTTTGCTTGGTTCCACTTATATTTTCCAGGTCTGTCTAGAATTCTTTTCCTGATCTTTCCAGTTTTGCTCCAACCCATCTCTCACTGATGTTCCCACATTCTCATTCAATGACCCGTCTCCTCCTCACCAACCCACTCATCTCTTCTTTTAGCTATGCTTCTTTTGAAGGGTAAGTGTGGCTGCCCCCTCTTGGTTCTGCAGGTCAGCCTTGTCATTGTCCTTGTGTGGGGACCCTCCCCATGTGGAATTAGCTAAGGAGCAGGACTGGGAGGTATTCTTTCCAACCAAAGCTGTGCTGTGTTTCAGGATGCGAAGAGATTGAATTCAGCCAACTCATCTTCAAAGAAGACTTCCTCCATGACAGCTACTTTGGGGGCCGCCTGCGTGGTCAGATCGCCACGGAGGAGCTGCACTTCGGAGAAGGGGTTCACCGCAAAGCCTTCCGCAGCACGGTGATGCATGGCCTCACGCCCGTCTTCAAACCTGGCCATGCCTGTGTGCTTAAGGTGCACAATGCCGTTGCCTATGGGACCAGAAATAATGATGAGCTCATCCAAAGGAACTACAAGCTCGCTGCCCAGGTGGGTCCATCTGCCCAGAGGCTGTCGCTTCTGGTGTGAGAGCCACCCGTGATAAGACGAGATGAAAATCAGACTCAGGATTCATGGGAGTGTCTTCAAAAGGGTGTTTTTCCTCTTTAGGGGTTTCAATTGAATCTAAGTGCTGGAGATCACTTCTCAGTTCTCAGGAGTAATTTCCTGGCCTTATGCCAGCTACTGGGGACTCAGCCAATGCCTAGAGACACCTCACCAGTTCTAACCTGAGATGTAACTGATTTTGTTTCTAAGAAGCCCTATGAGATCCCTGGGGGGTTGAATCTACTTGGACCTAGGATGATATGGAAAGTGGGGGTTCTAAGCTACACTAGATGCCTGGGTCCCCGGGAACAGGTAACATCAGCACTAGTTGCTGGAGTGTTTTGTTTGGGTTTGTTTGTGGAGAGGGAGAGGGGTGGGGTATATCCAGGAGAGTCAGCATTGGTCTTGTTTTCTGCTTTCCTGAGTTTGGTTTAATGTTAGCGTATAAAACAGGAAGAGAGACAGACACAAGGCCCTAGCTGAGTTCTCATTTCTCTGTGTTATCGAATCATAGAACTCGAGGCGAGAGGAGAGGGCAGGAGAGCCTTAGCTTCTCTCCATCCTTCCTCCTCCTTTCCACATATATGGTCCATATATTTCACTCCCTCTTTGTTTTTTGCTTTTGGAGACAGGGTCTCACTCTGTCCCCCAGGCTGCAGTGCAGTGGCATGATCATGGCTCCACAGCAGCCTTGACCTCCTGGCCTTAAGCAACCCTCCTGCCTCAGCCTCCTAAGTAGCTAGGACTACGGGCGCATGCCATCACGCCCAGCTAATTTTTATTTATTTATTTTTTTCAGACACAGGGTCTCCCTATGTTGCCCAGGCTGGTCTTGACCTCCTGGAGGGCTCCAAGTGATCCTCCTGCCTCTGCCTCCCAAAGTGCTGGGGTTACAGGCATGAGCCACCACCGCACCTGGTCCACGCATTTCACTGTGAAATTGTGAAAGTTGGGTCTTTCACAAGCTATGTGCCCCTTTAAAATGTTTACCATAAACATTTTAAACAATTAAAACCATTTAGGCCGGGCGCGGTGGCTCAAGCCTGTAATCCCAGCACTTTGGGAGGCCGAGACGGGCGGATCACAAGGTTAGGAGATCGAGACCATCCTGGCTAACACGGTGAAACCCTGTCTCTACTAAAAAATACAAAAAACTACCCGGGCGAGGTGGCGGGCGCCTGTAGTCCCAGCTACTCCAGAGGCTGAGGTAGGAGAATGGCGTGAACCCGGGAGGCGGAGCTTGCAGTGAGCTGAGATCCAGCCACTGTACTCCAGCCTGGGCGACAGAGTGAGACTCCGTCTCAAAAAAAAAAAAAAAAAAAAAAAAAAAATTAAAACCATTTAAAATATTAAAATCCATAGGTTAAACTCAGATGAATCTCTCAGGTACAGCCAAGCACTAAGCATCGTGATCCCACAGCAATGTCACGTGGGACTCTGTGCTTCTGAAGGCAGCTCTGCTCTCTGAATATAGGATTCTGTCCATTGTATTCCTTTCTCCTCCCAATCCACCCCTCTTTTTTCTTTTCTGAGTATTCCCTCTGTCTCAAATATGACACAGTCTTGGAAAATCTCCCAGCATCTGGATTCTCGCTCAGAAAAGCCCCACAGTATAGGATGCAGAATCCACTTAGCTTTTCCTAAGGCAGAAATCTTGTGCTGTTCATTATGACTACTTCAGTTACACCTTTGAAAAGGGATTGCAATGGCAGATCTCACAGGAAACCCAGTAGTGCCCCAAGTGCCACCCGATGACATGATGAGGGGCCAGTCCCCTTAGTTCTGGGGTGAATTTCAGCCATGCTGGCTCGAGAAATTTTATAGTTCTGGGACACCTGGTCCCGGAGACCACTTGACCTCCACCGGGATAGTTTCTTCATGTCTCAGAGCTCTTCTGTAGGTGGCCAACTCTAGGTTCTAATAATTGTTGCCTCTGCGACCCCAACCAGGGGATGGGCTAGTCAATTCATTGGCTTTACCTTACTGGGAAATCTCCTGAATAGTCTTACTGGGCGATGCTGTCTGAATTTCCTGTAGTCACTGGGGCTCTCTATGTATTTTGGTGATATAGGAATGCTATGTTCAAAATACTGCCAGGTATTATGCCAAGATCTACGCTGCTGAAGCACAGCCTCTGGAAGGCTTTGGAGAAGTGCCTGAGTAAGTGTATTTACTCTGCCTTGTGTTACACACTCCTGACTCACTGGGGACTGGGAGGGATGAGAGAGTGAGAAGGAACAGTAGGGCAAGTGTTTCAGCTGGTCTCTCAGTCTGTAAGCTCCATGAGGGCTCACATGGCTGCTATCCTACCCCTTGCTGGGTAGGATATTTAATATTATATAATAATAATATATTTAATATTTAAGAAGATAAATATTCTTTAAATAAATGAATGGATGGATGGGTGTATGGATTAATCCATCCAATACATGAATCTACCATGTTAAATAAAAAAGAAAGGATATCTACTCTCATAGCTATTACATTGTCTAAACAGTAAACAAATACAACAGAACAAGAGCTATCACAAGGCAATTAGTCCCATGATGAAAATAAAATATGGCAATGTATTACGGAAGAGTGGATTGGGTGATCTGAAACATAGTAACATAGTACCCACTTCCTGGAATCCTCCAGAGACAAATCACACCCACTTTTATCTACTCTTTGCCTAAATATTTACTGGCCCAAGCAAATTTTGGGGAGCCTGGAGCTTACGTTTGCGGCACTGTTTGTCTGGCTGAGATCGTATCTGCACGCTTAAATGGACAGAAAAAGGGCTTAGCTAGTGCATGTTGGAACTTTTTACCTATCAGTAAAAACTGGGAGAAGGAAGAAGGAAGAAATTCTTGTCTGCATTGCCCCTGTTAACTCACAAAATGGGAAAAATCGTTTCCCTTAGATGGTACATTTGGAAGACCATGGGTAAAGCATAACACTTTCTGCTCTTTCTGAAGAAATGCTTAACACACTTCAGTACACACTTACAATTGCTTTTCTGTTAATTACACAGACAGCCATCTGGACTGAGTTAAGCTTTCACGATATGGAAACTGGCTCCTTTTTCCCCCAAGCCCCGCTTTCCCCAGTCTCCGTCCTCTTAAGTTTTCTTCAAAAAAGAAAAGATTTAACCCACAAGTCAACCCTACCACACACAGAACCACAGTGTCCTCCAACAGGGACAGACCCAAGTTTTGTGTGGCTTGACTCTTATGCAATTTGGGCTTCTTTCTTTCCTTTCTTTCCTTTCTTTCTTTTTTATTTTTTGTAAGAGACAGGGTCTCCCTCTGTTGTCCAGGCTGGAGGGCAGTGGTGCAATCACAGCTCACTGCAGCCTTGACCTCCCGGGCTCAAGCGATTCAGCCTCCCAAGTAGCTGGGACTACAGGTGCCCACCACCACACCTGGCTAATTAAAAGCATTTTTCTTGTAGAGACAGGGTCTCTGTATATTGCCCAGGCTGGCCACCTACAACTCCTGGCCTCAAGTGATCTTCCTGCCTCGGCCTCCCAGAGTGCTGGTGTTAATAGGCTTGAGCCACCATGCCTGGCAAATTTGGGCCCTTTTTAAAGAAAAGAACACAAAATTATAAATATCAGGATTGATCTAGGGACTGGGAAAGGGCTCATGCAAGTGAAGGATCAGGAGCTGATTCATTTGCTGCATTAGCATCATGGTAAATAGGCCACTGCCTTAAAGATAGGTTAGGACATTTTTCTAGCTAAACCATTTTTCCATTCCTTACGAGGGGAGAGTTTGTGACCCCATGAATGCTGATGGCACATGGGAGGAGTAAGGGGCCTCAGAAGGGCCTCTGGGCCAGACTCCAGGTTTATGGAACCTAAATCGGAGGACTCTACAGCCAGAAAACACACCCCACCCCCCCCCCCACACACACACACAACACTCACCATACACACACACACACACACCACACAAACAACACTCACCATACACACAAACACACCCACCACAACACAAACACACTGCAAACACCACACACACACACACACACAAACAACACTCACCATACACACACACACACACACACCACACAAACAACACTCACCATACACACAAACACACCCACCACAACACAAACACACTGCCAACACCCCCCCACACACACACAAACAACACTCACCATACACACAAACACACACACACACACCACACAAACACCACTCACCATACACACACACACACACACACACCACACAAACAACACTCACCATACACACAAACACACCCACCACAACACAAACACACTGCAAACACACCCCCCACACACGCCACACCCCCCACACCACACATACACACCACACACATTACATACAAACACACACACCACACATACAACACACATACCACACACACCACACACAAACACACAACACTCACCATACGCACAAACACACCACAAACTACACACCACACACACCCCCACACAAACACAACACACACCACATACAAACAGACCACAAATACAACACACACACACCACACATACAACACACACACCACACACACCACACACAAACACACCACACACAAACTACACACCACACACACCCCCACACAAACACAACACACACCACATACAAACAGACCACAAATACAAAACACACACACCACACATACAACACACACACCACACACACACAACACAAACACACAACACTCACCATACGCACAAACACACCACACACACCCTCCCACATAAACACAACACACACCACATACAAACAGACCACACATACAACACACACACACCACACATACAAAACACACACCACACACACACCACGCACACCACACATACAACACACACATATGTATTACACACCCCCACACACATCACACATACAACATACCACACTCACACGCACACCACATATGCACATACACACACATACACACACCCCATACGCACACCACACCACACACACCCCCACTCACACCACACACATACACACACAAGACACATACACACAACACAAACCACACACACCACATAACACACACACCTCACACACATACAATACACACACACATACACACCACACAAACATACCACACACATACCACACACACATACACACAGCACACACATACCACACATACATACATATATCACACACATAACCACAAACCACACGCACAACACATACACACAACACACGCACACAGAGCTGACCCTGTATATTACCAGCCTTCTCTGAAAGCCTGCACATCTAGAGAGAGGGCCAGGAGTCCCGTCCCCCGCCCTCATTACCACAGCCCCCTAGACCGACCCCCCCGGGGGCCACCCCCGTGTTTATTTCCAGGCAATGAAGCGGGCCTGGAGAAGCCTATTTTAATGGAGCACGTGAGATCTTGGAGAGAAAACACTCCTCATTTGGGCAGCTTCTGTTTTTGAATTCATGAATATCAATGGAGTCACATTGTCTATGCAAATGGAATCCTGCTGGGCAGAGGCCAGGCCTAATTAAGACCCTGAATAATGCCCAGCCCTTGTTTCTGTTTCCCCCCTCCCCCCCCCCCAACCAGGGATGCAGAATTAATAAAAGCCCAAGCAAACCATGAACCCTTCTGTTGGCAGAAGGGTCAGTAGCCACAGGGGGTCGGTCCTCAGGAGGGAACCAGGGTGCCCTGCATCTTGCAGAAGTGACAAAGCACGACAGAGGCTGGCTTGGCGGCTGCACTGATTTCAGGGCTGTGGGGAAGGTCCACTGCCCTAATGTGCCCACTCCCATCTGGCTGAAATTTGAAATTTCTTTAACAAGACACAAAGAGGTTCTATCTTAAAATTAGAAAGAATGCCTCAAATGACTCTGGCACGACAGTAATCAGGGTACGCTGCTATTAGAGGGGCTTACTGCCTTGTGTCCAGGGCTGGGGTTCCAGAAGGACACGGTTCTGGCTCAAATTCTGCTGGTGAGCAAGCCTCTGTGTCCTCTTCGTGAAGTGAGGGGGATTCTCAGTTTCCAGGAAATGCTCCTAAATGGCAGAGGAGGATACCTGTGTGCCCGTCAAAGGGTCTGGAGGCTTCGTCCAAGCAGCTGGCCCGCAGGTGTAATTTCTTTGAAATGTAATATTTTATAGCTTTTAAATTCTATTGAGTGTTGTGTCCTCCTTCCTCTATGACTATATTTGTTTTAATAAAAAGTAATGTTTTTCCAACCACCTTTGGCTCAAGTTAATAGCCACGTGGAGCCTTCAGCTTACTTCCTGGGAGAAGGCACAGCCTGGGTGGAGAAGCGCAGGGCATTGCTCTGGGAGAACACTCCCAGCTTGCACGGAGGCAAGAGCAAGTGGGCAGGGCGGGACCTGTGCCCCAGCTGGTGTGTGCGTGTAACCGCTGGATGGGTTCACCTTGCCCACTGCCCAGACAGAGCTGACTTATCAAGATGGGGAAATCGCAAAAAAGAGTTTATTATACATAGAACTGTTACCGGAAAGGGGTCCCAATCCAGACTCCAAGAGAGGATTCTTGGATCTCATGCAAGAAATAATACAGGGCAAGTCCACAGAGTATATTGAAAGCCTGTTTATCAAGAAAGTAGAAGAATAAAAGAATGGCTACTCCATAGACAGAGTAGCCCCAAGGGCTGCTGGTTGCCCATTTTTATGGTTATTTCTTGATGATATGCTAAACAAGGGGTGGATTATTCATGCCTCCCCTTTTTAGGCCATATAGGGCAACTTCCTGACATTGCCATGGCATTTGTAAACTGTCATGGCGCTGGTGGGAGTGTGGCAGTGAGGAAGGCCAGAAGTCATTCTCATATCCATCTTGGTTTGGGTGAGATTTAGCCGGCTTCTTTACTGCAGCTTGTTTTATCAGCAAGGTCTTTATGACCTGTATCCTGTGCCAATCTCCTATCTCATCCTGTGACTTAGAATGCCTTAACTATCTGAGAATGCAGCCCAATAGGTTTCAGCCTTATTTTACCCAGCCCCTATTCAAGATGGAGTTGGTCTGGTTCACATGCCTCTGACAGAACTGGCTAAATGGGAGACTGGAGTTTTATTACTACTCAAATCAAACTCCCTGGAAATTTGGAGGCTAGGGTTTGTTTGTTTGTTTGTTTGAGAGTTTGGAATTCCGGGGGCTAGGAAATAGAGATTGGAGTTGGGTCAGGGATGGAATCAGGGATACTAAGTTGTCCTCTTGCATTGAGTCCATTCCTGGGTGAAGGCCACAAGACCAGATGAGCCAGTTGACCAATCTGGGTGGTGCCAGCTGATCCACCAGAATACAGGGTCTAAAAAATACCTCAAACACCAGTCTTAGGATTTACACTAGTAATGTTATTTATGGGAGCAACTGGGGAGGTTAGGAATATTGTGGCCTCTGGCTGCATGACACCTGAGCCATAATTTCTAATCTTGTGGCTAAGTTGTTGGTTTTACAAAGGCGGTCTGGTCCCCAAGCAAGGAGGCGGTTTGTTTTGGAGAGGGGCTGTTACCATCTTTGCTTGCTAAACTATAAACTAAATTCCTCCCAAAGTTACTTTGGCCTCTGCCCAGGAATGAACAAGGGCAGCTTGAAGATTAAAGGGAAAATGGAATCAGTTAGATCATTTTCACTGTCATAATTTTCTCACGGTTATAGTCTTTGCAAAGGTGGTTTCCTGAGTGGCAATCACAGAACCGGAGGTCCCAGCTCAAGCTTTCCTTCCTATTGTGAGGGGCAAGACTTACATGTTCATTCCACTGGGAGACGGGGTCTAGAGGCCCACGTTCCCTCTGAGAGAGAAGTGACCAGGTCTTCACTAGCGCCGTTCAAGGGAGAAAGGAACCACATGGGCAGCAGAGGAGCTCACCCATCTCTGCTGCCCCCACAACTTTTCCTGACGTTGTGTGTGGCCACTATGTTAGATGGGATTATTCTACACAATTACGTTTAAAGATCCTGATTCAAAGCCCATGCCATTTTTGAGGCATTTTCATTTAAGGGCTCTTTGTGGGGTTTTGCTCCATCCCCACCCCAGGGCAGCTGGTCACATCTTTGCATGCATAGGTCTCTGTTATAGCTGCCCCGTCGCCATTTCTCTCTGGTCACTTGGTCCCTCCCAAAAGTTGATTTTCTGATTTGTTAAACATATAGTTAGGGGCCTACATGAGACACGGTATATTTGTTCATTTACTCATTTGACAAGCGTTTTGTAATTAAAAAAAATTAATGAGCAGCGAAAGTCAGCATCTCACGTTTTCCTCTTGCCTCTATGGCCTGCCATCAGTGTTTCTATTTTAAGCCCTTGAAAGTGGTATATCTACGTTATCAACCTTAAACTAGGCGATCGCTTCTTTGGCTACTTACAAATTTGTAAGATCAGATTCTCTGTCAGTGGTTCATAACCCCCAGGGGACAGTGATGGTTGTGGAGACACTTTTGATGGTCAGGATCCGGGAAGGACTACTGGCATCTGGCAAGTAGAAGCCAGGGAGGCTGCTAAACAGGCTGCTCGCACAGGACGGCCTCCTGCCACCCCCACGGAGAACTATCTGCCCAGATGTCAATAGCGCTGAAATTGAGAAACATATAGAAATATTATATATACATATATAAGCATTCATTCATTCATTCATATTTTGCCAAACACTTATTTTGAACCAGGAACATTTACTATGTGCTGGGCTTTGCTTCTCCGTGCACCTTCCCCTACGGCTGCCCCTGGAAGGTAGGGACTGTGTCTTAGTCACCTCTGCCCTCCTGGTGAGTCTTTGGGATTCTGACGCAGCTATTCAGTAGATGTTTATTGAACGAATTGATTGTTTCTGTTTTCACAAGCTGCCAGTCACTGAGAAGAGGCAGATGTGGGGAGTGGGGGCAAATGAGCTCTTCAGTTTCTGCCATGGTAATTTTTAAAATATCATTTAAATGTTTTTATTGTGGGTGCCTTTTATTTTTCTTTATTTTTCCTTTTTTTTTTTTTTTTTAGATTCATGGGGTCTATGTGCAGGCATGTTAACGTGGCTGTATTGTGTGATGCTGAGGTTTGGGCTTTAACTAAACCCATCACCCAAATAGTGAACATGGCACCCAATAGGTAGTTTTTCAACCTTACCCTCCACCCTCCCTCCCCTCTTTTGGAATCCCCGGTGTCTATTGTTGCCATCTTTATGGCCATGTGTGCCCAATGCCATGTTAAATTTGAGATGCCCATGAGACATCACGTGGAGATGGTGGGCAGGGAACTCAGGGACAGGGCTGGACTGGGGACATAAATGTGGAAATCATCGGCATCTGAATGGTATTTAAAGCAAGGAAGTTGCTAGGGATTGTGAGAAAAGAGTTGTTCCAGAGCCTTCCAGAGTCTAAAGATTGACGAGAGGATGAGGAACTCGCAAAGGAGACAGAGAAGAGGTAGCCAGTGAAGCAGAGAAAAGCCATGAGGAAGTCAGGGAAAGGCGTATCAGAAAGAAGTGAGAGATCCACTGTGCCCAGAGCTGCTGAGACCAAAAGGGGTAGGTGCCGAGAAGAGAGCACTGGACTTAGCAGCATGATGGTCATGCTGTCCTTGACAGAGGCTTCTTTTGAGGGAAAGCCTCTTTCAGATGTTCAAGAGAGAATGGGAGGGGAGGGACTGGAGACAGTGAGTCTACAGCGGATGTGAGTTTCGATGTCAAATGTGAGTCAGTAGTTGGGGTGGGTTGTAGGGTCACCATGCTGTGTAGTTATCACAGAGTGCTGCTAGGCTTTTGGAAATGATTCTGTAGAGGGAATATTGATGGATGAGAAAGAGGGAAAACTGCTGTAGCAATACCTGGAGGATTTGAGAGGGGTGGGGACCAGGGCACCTGTAGAGGAGATGGTTCAGGATGGAGCAGAGATGGCGCATCGTGTAGGAAGAGGGCGCAGTGCGTGGGCACAGACCGGGAGGTGAGAATATGGATGTGCTCATGGCAGCACTTAGAGGTTCTCCCAAACCTTCAGTTTTCACACTGAAACAGGAAGATGAGAGTGCGGTTGGGGGAGGAGGTGTAGGTGCTTTTAAGAGAGAGGGACAGGTAGGAAATCATCATGTAGGATGATGTGACAGCAAATGGATAATGCTGGAAACTCCATCCCATATCTGATCACCTCTCCAGCTCCCTGGACATCATTACCTGGCCCCAGTCTCCCTGCCCCACCCCTGGCCTATTCTCCACAGAGAAGCAGTGATCTTTGTCATGCAGAAATCTCGTCGTGTCCCTCCCTTGCCCCAAATCCTCCAGTGGCTTCTCATCCAACTCAGTACAAAGGGAAAAGTTTTCCAAATGGCCTCCGAGGTCCCCCAAGGCCTGATTTCCTGTCCCCTCTGCCTCCCCCAACTTCTGCCAATCTCCCTGGCTCCCTGCACTCCTGCCGCACACCAGGAGTGCTCCTGCCCTGAGCATTTCTCCTTGGGGTGCCTTCGACCTGGAATGTTCTACCGTCGATGTCCTCATGGCTCCCCTCACTTCCTATAGGCCTCTGCTCAACTGTTCTTTATCCATGAACAAGGGCTGCTCTGACATCCCTACATAAGACAGCTGCCCCACTCCACTGCATGCCTCTGTCTCCTCTTCACTGCTGGGTTTTCCCACTTAGCACTTAGCACCATGCATTTACTCGATTATTGTCAGTCTCCTTCATTTAAAGGTGAGAGCCCCGAGAACACAGCCTCTGTTTTCTTTACTGCTGTTTTGAGGAATAGCATCTGGAAGAGCATCTGACACATACAGGCCACTGAATAAATATTGGTTGACTGAATGAGAGGAAAGAAGGATCAGTGGGTGGGTGGGTGGGTGGATGGATGGATGGATGGATGGATGGATGGATGGATGGATTGGATGGATGAAAGGAAGGAAGGATAGATGGAATGAAGGAACGGATGGAGGGAGGGGAAGAGGAGGGTGAGTAGAATGAAGGATGAATGGATGGACAAATGGATGGGTGCATGAGTAGATGAATGGATGAATTGATAGATAGATTACAGTCATTGATTGATGGGTCATTAAGATATGACTACAATGAAGACATTCATTTCTACATGAGCAATTAACCCCCCTCCCAAGGAGGAATTTATAACAACAAATAAAACACAGAAACATATCTTACCCATTAAAAAGTCATTGGATGGATTTGTAGTCTAAACCTAGCAGAGTTGGGGACAAATTCTACACTCCCAGCTGCTCCAGGCGAAGGACGAATGCCACAGGAGCCTCTCTTCCCAGTGGAGACCTCGATGTGCACCTGTGTTCTCTTCCCTGCCAGGATCATTCCTATTTTTCTTATCCATCGGCCTGAGAACAATATCCCGTATGCTACAGTGGAGGAGGAGCTGATTGGAGAATTTGTGAAGTATTCCATCAGGGATGGGAAAGAAATAAACTTCTTGAGAAGAGAATCAGAAGCTGGTCAGAAGTGTTGCACCTTCCAGCACTGGGTGTACCAGAAAACAAGTGGCTGCCTCCTGGTGACGGACATGCAGGGTGAGGAGAGCAGCTTAGCCTGGGCTCCAGGGATGCTGTGGGCCAGAGACGTTCCTGTGGGTGGAGAGGGAGGGGAAGGAGAGGAAGGATAGGCCTGCTGAGTACCTTTAAACACCTTTGCCTGCAGAAGGTGTTACTGATGCCTCATCAGAAATGAAATTCGATAACAGAGCCTGAAATGACCAGCCAGATGGCCATTTCATTTTATTTTTATTTAAAAAAATTTTGGGGCGGGGGTCAGGGTCTCACTCTGTCACCGAGGCTAGAGTACAGTGGCACGATCATAGCTTACTGCAGCTTTGAACTCCTGGGCTCAAGTATTCTTCCTGCCTCAGCCTCTAGAGTAGCTGAGACTGCACATGCATTCCACCACACTTGGCTAATTAAAAAAATTTTTTTTTGCAGAGACAGGGTCCTGGACAGTTTCCCAGCTGGTCTCAAACTACTGGGCTCTAGCGATCCTCCCACACTGGCCTCCAAAAGTGTTGGGATTACAGGCATGAGCCACTGTGCCTAGAGTTCATTTCATTTTAATAATTCATTCCAATAATGCCTTCCCATTACAACAGGTAACCAGAGAGTGGCTTTACTGTTATATCCTCAATAGGCCTAGACTCAGCAATATATACCCAAATCCAGATCTACCATAAGATAAATTAAAATGTAGTATTCCATTCTCAATAGACAAAAGAGTCTTTAGAATGCTTTAGATTTTAAGCTCCTCTGCTGAATGTATAGCATGTTTTCAATATATACACAACTGTTTAGGAATACCATTTCTTCTGTGGAATGGAGATGTCATCATTAGGCTTCCCCTAAGACAGACCTGAGACAGGTACTCCTGTGCAAATGGCTTATTTGAGAGGGGATCCCAGGAAACGCCAATAGAGGAGTAGGGAAGTGCAACTGGGGAAGGAAAGGAGGCTGGTGGAGTATGTTATTACTAGCCAGTGACTGCCATGGGTGCTGGAGCTGACATCTGCGGGGAGCCCTGCAGAGCACACTTCTCAGTGAGGGAGCCGGGGTGTGTATGCACCAGCTACCAGGATCACCAGCTGGCGGCTGCTCTGGGTGGGGGCATTACTTCCCCTGCACCTGTCACCTGCCTACACGGGCAAGCTAAGCTGGATAAAAAACATGATCAGAGAAAGTTCTTAGGCAGAGAAATGCTGGTGTGGCACTGAGAAGTGGAGCCAGGTGCACAGAAGTGGTTAGGGTGAGGGCAATAGGTAAGGCACCAGCAGCTTCCGCCGCAAGAGTTTCCCTATTTCCGTTTGCTATTAAGAAAATCTGAACTGTATTATTGTCTGTCTACCAAATGTCAAACATTGTCCCAGATGAGGATCTCAAGCTCTAGCTATTACATGGTGTTGAAGAGCAAGACCACCTTGGGGTTCTGTTCCCTGCACTGCCACTTCCAACCTGGTAGCCTGTGAGCAAATTACCTTTCTCCCTGCTTCAGTAACCTCCACACAGGGTTGTTCTGAGAATTAAATGAGATAGTAAACCACTAATTGCAGCATTGCCACATAATAAATGGTTCCTATTTTTTTAACTCATTTTTTAAAATTTGTTTGAGACAGCGTGTCACTCTGTCACCCAGGCTGGAGTGCAGTGGTGCAAACACAGCTCACTGCAGCCTCAATCTCCTGGACTCAAGTGATCCTCCTGCCTCATCCTGCCATGTAGCTGGGACCACAGGAGTGTGCCATCACACCTGGCTAATTCTTTCGTGTGTGTGTGGGGGGTGGTGTGTGGGGGGAGATGGGGTTTCACTTTGTTGCTCAGGCTGGTCTTGAACTCCTGGACTCAGGTGATCTTCCTGCCTCGGCCTCCCAAAGTGCTAGGATTACAGGGCCACTGTGCCCCAGCCTTTAGTTTGAAATAATTATAGACTAGCAAGAATTTGCAAAAATATATGGAGTGGTTCACATGTACGCTTCACCCAGCTTCACCTCATGGTGACATCTCACATAAGTATAGTATATTATCAAAACCAAGAGATGGACACTGGCAGAATATAATCAACTACACTAAAAACTTTACTTGGATTTCATCAGTTTTTGTATCCATTCATTTTTTTCTACTATTTTTACTTAATCTTCATAATAACCCTGCAGAGAAGATATTATGATCCCCATTTTACAGATGAGAAAACTGAGGCCTGGAGACCGTGATTTAATTGTCTGCTGTCACTCAGCTAGTAAGTAGAGGGGTCCAAGACTCCAACCCGCATTTTCTGACTCTGAATTCCAAGTTCTTTCCACAAATAACAATTTAGCAAATTTGCAAGATATTTACTTCCAGACCTTTCCAAGTCTCTCCTGATGTAAGAAGGCTCTGGTATGTGTACTGCTCTTCCTCCTAAGCCCTTGGAAGGACTCCTTGCAGGCCAGCTGGGAAATGCAACATTACTGCCTTGCAGATGAAGCCAATCTGCAAATTTAAGTCAGACTTCGCTCTTTGAAGAGACTGCTGCCACACACACACACACACAAAATATATGGTCTTAACAGACAGCTGTTTGTTCTATTTAGACTCTGGCTGTGCAATTGCTGCTGTCCCCCATCTTTTCTCCTTGGGAATTAATTTTGTATTAAATATAGCTCTTCCGTTGAAAAGCAGCACCCAGGGCTTCGTGAACAGTTAGTTTTACTTCCAGGTACTAGTAAACAACAGTAATGGAATATCACATCTCTCTGTAAATGATGTGCGTGGTTTAACATGGTGGTGTGGTGTTAAGTAATGGTGTTTATTTACTCTCTATTGACGGACAAAAAATATTTTTACTGTCATTGTCATTGTGGCATGAGACAGCACATCTATTCTCTAAGGCCAACTCCACTTTTTATAATTTTACAGAGACATTGGAATTAGAATTAAACTCAAATTCTATCACCACCTTTTTGGACTTTTAAAAGTTAACTCCTCCTGGCTGTATTTGCTTGTTTAGAAGATTGTGCCAGGTTTGCGGGGTAAAAGATGAGCCTGTGATTTGGACCTGAGACCTGCATACTGGTGAGACTACCAGGTTTTCTAACAAGCTGTCACCCAAAACACTCAAGACCTCGAATTCTGGAGAATGAACTTCTAAGGCTGTTCATTTCCTTTCTTCTATTAGAAACAACCTGTAGATTACTGTTATCTCCAACTCAGCTTGATAGCTGCACACTAGGATTTAACTTTAGCCTCTAGAGGTTCTTAATAACCTTGACAGAATTGCAGGCAAATTATTAAACTGAGAGAGGGAAGTTTTCTTTTAAAAATTATATTCTGTCTTTCTAAACTGTAAGTGACAGCTGGTAATTGTGGGAAACAAGGGAAAGCAATTCTCCAAGTTCAAAGACCTTTTGCCAAATGACTTTTTCAAATTGGATTTCCATGTGGCTTAGAACTGTAATTTTAAAATACAATTTTCCATGAAATAAGATGTCCAGTGAGAGCTTTTGCAATTTGGTGGGTTTTTTTTTTTCCAAAGCATAGTCCCTGTAATAGAAGCTATGTGAACCATTTCTACATATGTTTGAGTTATTAGCAGCTTTGAAAGAATGAGATGAATTAGTGACCAACTGCAAAAGAGACTTTTAAAATGGTCACTGGTTCTCCCAAAGTGCCGTGTCTAATGTAGCTCACAGGTGCACTGCAGAAAAGCAGGCCTCATGGCTTCTGTCTGACTAACCAGCCTGAATCCCAACGTGTCCTGTGTTTTTGCCATGCTCCCAGCGGATACCGCTGAATCAGAGCATTAACTCTTTAGCTGTCTTTTCCTGGGCCTCAGAAGCAGCACTCCACATGGGTGCAGAACCATGGAGTAGGTGGCCAGCAGATCTGATCCTCATGGTTGGCTTTAGCGGGATGCTGAGTTTCTTTCCTTTCCACAGCCCAAACTGGTTTCTAGGCTGCCAGGGCCCTCCATGGGCAAGTCACTTGCTGGAGGTGGGGAATGCCAGTGCTCACAGCCTGGCCCATGGGGCCCAAGACGCAGGGACAAGAGCACGGGAGGCAGGACCCAGGCATCTAGCAGGTGCAGACGCACTGGTGGGGTGGCACTGTGGGCCCTGGGATAAAATGTCATCACTAGATTGCATGGGTAAGGTCCTGGCAGAGGTCCACTGCATTGGAGCAAGTGCCCATAGCCTCACCCTAGGGAGACAGGAGTGGAATTGGTACATGGTCAGGGCGTGGAGATTCTGGAAAGGCCAAGAGGGAATCCACACTCTGGGCATCAGGGAAGTGCTTTACTTTCCACTAGACCTGGGAGAGGTTCAGGATGCAGGCTGAGACTGCGGGTAGAGTGAGAGAGGGTGGCGCTCTCCACTACAGAAGGGGATGGCAGCTCTTGTCATTCCTCACGGTGGAAAACAGTGGGATGGTCTATTCCCTTTGCCTCCCTGGCTGCCGAGCTACCCTCCCTACCCCTCCTGCTGGAAAGGCAGATGAGAAAAGGCTTCCATATGCTTGCGATGGGTGCCTGTTGCTCTTTGCTGAACCAGAGTGGGAAGCTCAGGTAGCTGTTCTTTGTTTTGGTTTTGGTATCCCCCACCTACCCCCACCATGGTTTAGTAGGTAGCAGTTAGGATGAGTCCAAGAACCACGTGTTCCAAATGTCTGCTTCCCCAGGCCATTGGTTCAGCGTCTACATAGAATTCAAGATTGTTTCCTGGGGCCTAACACTGACCACCCAGAAAACCTTCAGTCCTGGATTGAAAAACGATCTTTATGGAAATGAGAAATCACGTATCTGAAGTTTGACTTTCAACTAAACACATGCCCCTTGAGCCCTGTGTTAGTTCATTTTCACACTGCTGATAAAGACATACCCAAGACTGGGTAATTTATAAAGAAAAAGAGGTTAATGGACTGATAGTTCCACATGGCTGGGGAGGCCTCACGATCATGGTGGAAGGCGGAAAGCACGTCTTACACTGCGGCAGGCCAGAGACACAATGAGAGCCAAGGGAAAAGAGGAAGCCCCTTATGAAATCATCAGATCTCCTGAGACTTATTCACTACCATGAGAACAGTATGGGGGAAACCACCCCATGACTCATTTATCTCCCACCGGGTCCCTCTCACCACACTTGGGAATTGTGGGAGCTACATTCAAGATGAGATTTGGGTGGGGACATGGCCAAACCATGTCAAACCCTCTTGCTATTGGCATTGACCATCCCAGGCCATGCCTACTCTTCTTTCCACCATGTAAGGGTTTCCACTTTCATTGAAGAATGGGGAGCCAGACCTAAGCCGAAGTCAGAGTATTTCTGGGGAGAGAGCTTACGGGGCAAGCACTGGGCCTCAGATTTTTTCAGAGTGGCCAGCTCCCTCCTTGTCATGGGGTGGGTGGGCCAGGCAGGCAGAGGACTTCATTTCTGGAGCTGAGATGGCTTGGGTTGTCTGCTCACATAAGACTTGAGTCCCGCTAACTGCTGCCTTCCCCATGGTCCCTGCCTAAAGCTGGATGCGTATTTGAAAGAGGCCTCAGGTGTTTGTGCAGGAAGGGGAAGGAGGAGGAGCTGTCATTCTTTCTGAGGGACCCTGAGTAACATAAACTCCCCTCTTTGTTTTCTCTTCCTGTAGGTGTAGGAATGAAGCTAACTGACGTTGGCATAGCAACGCTGGCTAAAGGGTGAGTAGGAAAAAATAGAGTGTGCATCATTTAACACTGGGCCAAGGACACCTTCCAGGCAGACACTGTCAGGCTGAGGTGGGCAAAGTGAATTTCTTGACCTAACTGCAGATGACAAATGTTCTTGGGATGAATTCATTTCTCTCACTTATATAAAATATTTATGGACTTTGTTGTCACAGGGGAGCACATTTGTTTCTTAACTTTGAAACAAATGAGAACTCTTGCAGACACATTTCAAGATTAATAACCAATAGGAGTACCATGGGGAGAAAATGCTGGCATTATTTGGATGCCTTTTAACTGGAATATTCCATTCTTTTACATTTAATATCTTCACTATTAAAAGCTTCTTTGAAAAATATGTTTTTGCAATTGAATGCAGTGAATTCAATTTGTATATTTCAAATTAATTTTTCCCCAAAAAGGACTTTAGGCAGCTCACAGATCCCCATGATGATAATCATAGGAGGCAACGTCTCTGGCAGAGCTGTGATTAGTTACCTGTTTTTGATGATGGCTTTATTTTTCTAATATAGAGTGGTGCTTTGCTTAGTGTGAGGCACACACAGAAGATGATGCTATGATCACATTTTACTGGGGCGTCTTTTTAACAAGCTGCCCCTTCCCACTTCTTTACCTGACTGCCACTGAGGAGAAAGCCAGCCATTTGTGGTTCTTGGTGAAGATGCAATTCCGTGTTGGAACCGCCGTCGCCTTTGCCCGCTCCTGCTCTTCCTATGTACTGAGACCGTCTGTAAGGGGGAGGAAAAGAGTGCTCATGACTTTTGGAAGGGATGGCTTCCATTTCAAAATGTAGGTTTTATTAGTATGAGGTATCGTAAGGTCAACAGATCAGGAGACAGTTGCCATTGAAAAGCTAGTTTGTTACTCACAGCTCCCAAGAGGGGGCACCACACCACCAGGCGCCATGCTGGGAAGCACCAGGGCCAGTTGGGAGGTAGAGGAAGTGAGGGGAAAACACAGGCAAAAATATTATGGTTTATTCAGGAAGGAATAGGTGAGGGAGGATAAACAGGTCTGGGATTGGCTAATTTGACATTTCCAGCAGTCTCTGGGACATAGGGCTGGCCCTAGTGTCTGGTACCCGCACTGGGGTGATTAGGGCAGGTGGATAGTGGCCCCAGTATGAGAGTCCACAGAGGACGTATTAGGAGTGTGGTTCTGGATTGGTGGTTTGCATATATATGAAAGGCTCTCTGGAAGGTGATCATTTACTATCTCTAGGAATATGCAGCCCTGAGAGGAGTAGAGTCTCTCCAGGGCCAGTAAGGCCCAAGATGTCAAAGCATCAGAAACACAGAGAATAAAGTGGTGGGATGAATCCAGCTTACTTTCCCAAGGCTGAGAACAACTTATCCATGGGAGCTTTCTGGTTACTTCAGACCATCAGTGTCAGCCACGATCCAACAATTATGCTATTTTTCAGCTTCATTAAAGGACAGAGAGAAGTAGAGGGATCTGAAAAAGTAGGAAGGGGATCGCTCTTTCTTTTAACCTCCAGGTCAGTAAGTCTGATTCATGAAGTTCTTGCTGATTGCACAAAGCTTCCAGTTGGGTTTTAGAACCAGGATGCGGTTTGGACCTTTTCCCTGCGGTGGCTCAGTGATGATGAAGTTTTATGTTGGAATTGTCTCCAGGCTTCTCCCCCATGCTCACCGGAGACCTGGCTGGCATACACTTCAGGGAATTGGGCGTGTCCTTGGGCTTGTGAAGACAGCGCGTTAGGAGGGGTTATGATGAAGTGGGGAGGAAGGAGCGAGGGATTTAGAGCGAGACCCAGTTCGTACTGTGATGCTGCTGCTTCTGTTTCTCCTGATAGTAAGTAGCCTTGCTTCTCGGCATCATAGGAATGTGCCTAGCCTACCTGATGAGGGGGATGAACGTCTATCCCAGTCTCCCCATGATGGTACCATTTTATGCCTGAGGTCCTCACATCCCATACACTTTAGCATTTATCCTGAACAAGTGTACCCATTTAGAAGATAAATTATATGGTGCCCTATTTATGGAGGCTTCTGGACCCCAGAAGGATTTTCCAAATGGAGACTTCCTTTCCAGGCTCCATGTGCTCTGCAGAACCTTACAGATGCAAGCATCAGTCAGCCCTAGTTTGAATCCTGGCTTCTCGTCATACCAGCTGTGTGACTGTGGGCATGTGACTAAGTTCTTAAAGGCAGTGATGTACAGCATCGGGACACTCCGGCTTGCCCTCGGTATTCCACCAGTTAATCTACACCTAGCCCCTGAAACTGGAAGTGAGCTAGATAAATATTAGTTTCCCTTCCCTCCTCATGTCTTAGCCTGACACTAGAGTAGGCAAATTTCATGCTGTTATTTAGAACAGCTCTCTACCAAAACAAAGAAACCTGCCCAAGAAGTTTCAAAAATGAAGATGGTCGTGATTATTTAAGACATCTTTTAAAAGCAAGTCAACAGCTTCCAGGAACCCAGACCAACTGGGAGCTTCAAATGGTATATATTTTTTTCTCCTGATTGAAAAAGAAATCCAATCCTTTGGTTTTGTTCTCAGCTTTAATATGACTTATCTGGCCTGGGATAGCTGCCCAAGACCCATTAGAAGCGCTGATGGCTGGAGCCCAGTACAGAATGCTGTCTATAAAGTATTACTTACTTATTGCCTTCCCACCCAAGAAGAGGCCAGGGAGCAGGAGCTGGGAGAGGAGGAGATTCTGAAGTGTTTGAGAGCTTTGGCAAGGATATTAGATCTTCTTTTCCTTTGTTTTTTAAAAACTTTTATTTAAGCTTTACCTTTTAAGACAAAGTTTTTTTCCCCCCAAAATAAATATATCTTAGAATCACAGTTTGAAAAACTGATGAAAAGGGAAAACTTCTCCAAACAGAGCATAAGGGGTGGTTGAGAGACCTCCTGGGAACCCCTCTGGAGTGGAAACCAGTGATCAAGTCCGACCTCCTCACTTCACAGGTGAGGAGGCATGGGGCATGGGGCAGCCTGCTTATAGGCAGGGGTCAAGAAATCTTTCCTGCTTGAAGTCAGCACCCCAAAGTGAAGGGCAGATCCTCAATGCTGGGAGGCCGAGGCACAATTGAAAAAGTTCTCCAGTGAATGTCAAAGCTGCAAAAGGGAGCTAAATCATGAGAACAGACTTGGAAAGGGCTCAAGTTCAACGGCACTTTGCAGACAGGAAAGTCCAGGTGGGAGGCAAATGAGCCGGGGGAAGAAAGGAAGGCGAGCATCACAGACTGCAGAGAGCAGGAGAGAAGATGGAAGAATAAGGGTTGATTGAGGAAGTTCTCTTGATTCTTAGCAAGCAACTGTGCATGAGCTTAGTTCATTCATGATGCAAAGGGACAGTCGCAAGTTCTATGAGGGGGCTGGTACCTGGCATGGCTCAGCTGGAGGAATAGCACCATCATAAGAAGCAGTGCTCTGTGTGTCATTAAAAAAAATATTCCCATATGTCTCAATCAGGACCACATATTTGGCTGCTGACACCCCAGTCATGCAACCTGTTTTGCTCTCTTGTTCAATGAAGTCAAAGGTTATGGTCCTATTTCAGGAGTAATTAGTCTTAATCTCATCAAATAAAATAGAGAATTGTCATGATTTACTCATTTTAATTCAACTTTACTTCGTTGTATGTTCCTTACAACAGGAGTATGTCGTATTTCTCTTGGGAGCCAGAGATATACATATGTCTGGAAGCACATCCCCTGTACCTCAATCTTTTGGCAAATGTTGGGTACAAAAATTTCAGGTTACAAAGTATGGCAAGTAAGATTGTCTTGACATCTAGTAATCCATTTTCTAGACAGACCAAGATACTAACTGGACCATTGAACAAATTTCTGATTGGAAATTACACAAGGAAAAAATGCCTAATTTTATAACTGGAGATTTGGAAACGTAACCTAACCAACTCCAGACCGATCTAAAGCCACCCAGGCAGCGGAGCCGACCTGCAAACTCATGCTTCTCTCCAGCCAGTGGGGGAGTTCCTGGGGCAGGCGACGAGATTGCAGTTCAACCACCAGAGGGCACCAGAACCAATACTTTGCCCTTTGTAGTCTCCCCTAAAAAGCCAGTTTCCGGTTGCCAGATTGAAATACAACAAAGAAAAGTACCATTAGCAGATTTCGTCCCTGGCAGTAAGCATTGGACCAAAATAAGATTAATATGGACAACCATAAAGGGCACCCCTCAGAGCGGCTGCCAGCCAGCCTTGCATCTTTCCACCCTTGGAAGAAGGAACGATGAGACTTAAGGATGAGTGTCATGTGTCAGGCGTCCCTGACATGGAAGCCAAATTCCCGAGACCCTGAACAGAAGCCTGGATGATTCGTTCACGTAGCAGGAGGAGAGCTGCCTTGAGAAAGCAGGCTCCACTGGCGTCTGCGTGCCTAGCTCTGATCCTGGCCATGAAAAGGAGAAAAGATCAAAATAGACTCCCACACTCGGTCAAGCTGAGTTCCAAAAGAAAGGCTCTGCCCTCAATGCCCACAAGCAGGTGGAGGGCACGGCAGCCACCTGGGATGCTTTGCCGGGTCGCAAGACTGAGACACCGCCATACCTGGAGAGGAAGAGCCAAAACAAACCTGGACGTGGGAAGAAACAATCTAATCCAAAGAAACACGCCCCAAGAATAGGCTTATGTGCATGAGTGGTGACTCTAGGCAGAGTATTTAAAGCAATGCATGAGTCTGCCAGGAGAGGAAACAAAGGGACATTGGAACAGAATTCCTGATGCCTTTTAAGTATGTCATAGCAGGGCCTTGTCACTGTAGAACACCAAACATTTCAGCCGAGTCCCCAATGCCAGGCATCAGCAGACCAGTCTCACAGGCCTGTCGGCTTGAGAAAGGCAATTTTATGCCCCAGATAGCTCTTCTCCCCGCGTGCCCCATGGTCACCTGTCCTGGAAGCCCGCCTGCATCCCATCTTCATCGGGTCAGGCTATTCTGTAGTAGGACCGACTGGCCTGCTGGCTGATTTATGT